ACTTAGCTTGTGTGCCATGTCATGGTACCTAATTTGCTCCCAGCAAGCAATGTCATGAAGCAGAAGCATAGTTCAGACTCTGTTGGCTTAAAATCCAAGATAAATGTCTCCTTTGCCAACTGTGCCAGACCAGGTCTGAGCTGGGTCCTTGCTGCACTTTGTTGGCTCTTTGTTCCATTTACCCCTTCTAGCATGAGCTGCTGCCAGGGAAAAGAATCAGATACAAATACCTTGGTTTCTCTTCCTCAGCTGGGTTTGCCAGATGATGCACTGGAAAGCCAACCACCCACACTAGAAGGTGTCAGCTGGTTTGCCCAGAAGCTGCCTAGTTGCAAGACCCACCAGAAGGTGAAGCAGCAGGAGGTGTGGATGGAAGTGGGAGAGAGACATCATCTGCAGGGAGGGAGTTCCTGCAGCAGACATTCTGGTATGTCCAATGTAGCCCAATGTTTTGAGCCCCAAGTGTCAGCACTGGAGTGGTTTTATCTCCATCAGAAAGTTTCTGCTATCCACCTGCTAATTATCACCTCACCCCAACTCTTCTGCCATGGTTTTGCTCCACACCTGAACTGGTGCAGCCTTTGCTGGGGTGGGGCAGCCAGTCTTGTCCTCTCCACCCTCCCTCATGCTGCCCCTCCTAATTTTGTGGTGGCAGCAGCACCTGCCTAACCTTCCTCTTGACTCAGAGGCAGCACAGGTCCCGTGTCCTTCTTCCCACTGAGGTGCAGGTTAACAACAGAGGGCCTGGATTAAAGTTTTCTTGTCCATCAGTAGGAATCCAATTGCCTGTGCAAAACCAGAGGCTCGGGAGGGGTCACATGCCCAGTTCATCTCAAATCCAAAAGATTTCTTGGGTTTCAGGGGTCTTCCTTTTTTGGGCACCTCTAAACCACAGACACTTGATACAAAAGCCAACAAACCAGTAGCAGCGCTCCAGCGGGCTTCAGGCCTCGGGTGACTTCTCAGCAGTCTGATCCTCCTTTTGATTGGTTTTAATTGCTTAAATGTCAACAGCATCCAGGTGCCTGACGAGGTCTGGAACTGCCGCGTCGCCCGCAGCAGCAGCAGCAGCAGGAGGAGCAGCAGCAGCAGCCGCACCCAGCACTCAAACAGCACCTCCTGCCCAGCCCACCTAGCAGAGAACCAAACCACCCCAAGCTGTGCAGCCACCACGTACCAGGCTGCACTGTCATAGAATCATGGAACGGTTTGGTTGGAAGGGACCTGAAGGATCAGCAGGTTCCAAACCCCCTGCATGGGCAGGGACAGCTCCCACCAGTCCAGGCTGCACAAGCTTCATCCAGCCGGCCCTTCAACACCTCCAGGGAGGGGACATCCCCCCTGGGCAACTTGTTCCAGTGCATCCTACCCTCATGGAGGTGAATTTCCTCCTGATGTCTAACCTAAATCTCCCCACTTCCAGTTTAAAACCATGACCCCTTGTCCTATCACTATCTTCTCTGATGAAAAGTCCCTCCCCAGCTTTCCTGGAGCCTCTTCAGGCACTGGAAGGTGCTCTAAGGTCTCCCCAGAGCCTTTTCTCCCAGCTGAATAGTCCCAAGTCTCTCAGCCTGTCTTCATACCAGAGGTGCTCAAGGTCTTTGATCATCTTTGTGGCCCTTCTCTGGATCCTCTCCAACAATTACATATCTTTCCTGTGATGAGGAAAGACTCCTCTGGGACAGCTCAGGTGAGACAGGCTTTGAAATCTTGTCAGGAGAAACCCACAGTGATAATTCTGCCAAAAGAAGGGAAACACAGCAAGTTTCACAAGCTTGGAGTCAAGATGAAGAAACCTATTCAGCCAAACACATCTTAAGGACCACTTGTTGTTTACTCCAAAGTGGTATTGTAGCACATACAGATTTTCTGAATCAAGTCTCTATTTGTCCAACAGGCAAATCCAGTGGGAACCTTGCAGAAGGAAAAAGCAGTTGACTTAGAGAAGTGGCTGTCCCAAAGTGAGCCCTTCTTGTCCTACTGCTGTGCTCCTGGGGGACTCACATCACAGCTGCTGAGGGTGCTGATTGAAGTATTTTCCGGGTGTTGGATTCTCCTGTTATCCCTGCTGAGCTCACGTAGGCACGGAAGAGCAGGCTGGACTCTGCCTTAGCTCATGCCCTGTAATGTAATGTAATGTAATGTAAGATCATTATTAATGTAATGTAAGATCATTAACAGTATTTTGAGAGCGAACTCACACTTATTTGTGAGACACGTGCCAGAGAGGGAACAGCCTAATTTTCTGATGCTGTTGCAAAATCCGTTAAAAGAAAAAAAAACAACATTCTTCACACATGCCAAATGTGTGAATGACACCTCCAAGTAGGTTGTGATGTTGACCACAGAAACCCACGGTGTGCTGTGTGATCAGCTCCATGATTTTATTGGTATGTTTGTAATGTTTTAGAAGGGGTTTTTAAATCCTGTCTCTGTGAGTGACCTGGAAGTCTCATCTTTTTCTTTCCAAGAGTCTGATACATCATAGGATATTCGTTAGTAAATTCAATAGAAATATAGCCTAATAAAAGTTTACTAAAATAATGAATTTGCCATACTAAGGGTCGCTTTTAAAACAAGGTGCTTTGTGAAAACAGCAGTCAACTATGCCAAGCATCCTGTAGGTTGTGATAACATTAAGTCTTCTAAGACCCTGTGGCGCCTACAGGCAACATTTATGTGGACTCTGACCCACCTGGGCCATCTACCAGCAGGAGACTGGAGACAGGACCAGGATGGGAGACAGGACAAAGGACTAGAATCAACAAAGACCCCCTCCAGGAGACCCTCGAGCATGCATAAGTACAAAGACAGCCAATTCCAGGAAATGAAATGATTATGTAAAAGAATTCTGGGAGCTCATTGACATAAAACCAAATATGCATGTTTTTGGTGTATATTAGTTGGAGTGTTTCACTAACTGGTTGGAGCACTCATGGTGGAGAATCCCCAGCACTGCAATAAAGAATCCCTGCTCAGTAACAGCTTGTTTGTTGTTATTGGGTCTTGTCTCAGAATCCTTACCCAGCCCAGCCTCCCACTGCGCTGAGGAGTGTTAGAAAGCAGGGGGTTCTGAGCTTCCAAAGCTCAGAAATTTTTGCTTCAAGTCTATGCTCATGTGGCCACAGACAAATCACAAAATCAGGGGGGGCTGGAACTAGGTGATAGTGAAGGTCCCTTCCAACCCGAAGAGCTGTCTGATCCCTCAGCACAGCCCCATGAGGGCCCAGCTCCCATTCCAGCAGGTCCTGGGGGAACACGGGTGGGCTGTGCCTCTCAGGGGGACCCACCTGGGTGGCACAGCAAAGTGCTTCGAGGAAATACAATCATAGAATCACAGAATCCCAGGGGTTGGAAGGGACCTTGAAAGACCATCTAGTCCAACCCCCCTGCCAGAGCAGGGACACCCAGAGCACATCACACAGGAACGTGGCCAGGGGGGTTGGAATGTCTCCAGAGAAGGAGACTCCACAGCCTCTCTGGGCAGTCTGGCCCAGGGCTCTGTCACTCTCACAGGAAAGTTCTTCCTGAGATTCCCATGGAACCTCCTGTGCTCCAGTTTGCACCCAGTGCCCCTTGTCCTGTCACTGGACATCACTGCACAAAGCCTGGCTCTGTCCTCCTGACACTGCCCTGAACAGATTTGTGCCCATGGATGAGGTGGCCCCTCAGTCTCCTCTTCTCCAAGCCCAACAGGCCCAGCTCCCTCAGCCTTTCCTCAGCAGGGAGATGTTCCCCTCCCTCCAGCATCTCTGGGGCTCTGCCCTGGGCTCTTCCCAGCAGTTCCCTGTCCTTCTGGAACTGAGAGGCCCAGAACTGGACACAATACTCCAGATGTGGCCTCACCAA